TCAGATTGCTTGTGCTGGCAATGTAGAGTTTGTAGAAGTATTCTCGAAGGAGGCCAGACCTTTAGACAATCCACAATAAAATTTTCGGTGCTTGGCACTTGATGTAGTGACACGATTACAAGCCTGGGTCTGGGAATCCCATAAGTCTAAATTCAGCACCGTTGTCATGCACTTCCTGTTCTTGAGCCTCAGTTTCCTCTACAGAGTGCCCAGTGTGGATCCTGGCAGCTCTATGGAGAAGGTTAAATGGGAAACTTAGTGGATAGCCCTTGATAGTCAGTGATTCCTATTTAAGAGTAACGTGCCTATACAAAGAAAATAGAGATGTACACCCCCTAGGGTAGAATCTTTAAAATTACTCATAAAAGGTGTCCCATACCAGAACCTTCTCCCAAGTCAAGACTTTAGATCACTCTGTGCAAGTCTCCTGCCTCCAGGCTTTCCTGCCAGGTGTGAGCGTAAGAGGAGAGGTGAGAATGAGACAGGGAAACAAGGGGTCGATGAGATGGCTCAATGGCCAAAGGCTCTGCTGCTCAAGACTGATCCTGTGACCTTGATCCCGAACCCTCATAAGGACAGAAAGAGAGGGCCAACTCCACAAAGTTGTTATCTGACCACCACACCTGTAGCATAGCACGCGTGTGCCCTCACATAGTAAGAAATAAAATAAAATGGAAGCAAAGGCATGCCAAGATTCTGGGAGCATTTGAAGCCTTTTGCATGTCAAACTTAGCTGCATATAGACTGCATATAGACCAGAACATAGAATGACAGCTGACTGGTGTTCTGGTGACTAGTGCCTTAACAGAAGGCCCAAGGATGAGTCCTTTACTGGAATTGTGACTCATTCTCTCTCCCTCTGGCCTGCAAAAGGATCCTTGAAGTCTCTTTTCTTGTCTGGTTCTGTAGGCTTATAACATTAAGCAGGTGTGTGCTTATTATATGTAGATTATATGCAGAATTGTGTTTGGTCTTCTGCCTTGTCATACAGGGATATGTCCATTGAGACTATCCTCTACTTCCACAAAGATGGTTAGCTTAAGACAGAATTTCACCATTATTTTAGAACTATGTCTCTGTCTCACTGAGAAATGTAAAGAAGGACAGTGTGGTGTTATGGGGGTACTTCCGGGTTCTCCAGAAGATGCTGTTATGTGTTCTTCAGGAAGTGACACAGAAGAGGGGAAAGCTGAACATGCAAACACTGAGAATGACTTAAGGCATTCAGTTCAAATCAACACATACTTCTGAGTGCTGTCTGCACACAAGGGCCCATTCTCACTGTAAACAAAGGGCTCTTAAAGTTTAGCAGAAGATCATTTCATCTCAACACCCCCCATTAACAGAAAAGAGGAATGAGCCCCAGCAGCATGACTCATCCCAGGCAAGGTTACTTGGCACACCAAGCTAGATCTCTGGTGCCAAGGCTTAGTTCTGGGCTGATATCATACAGGAGTGCTTCCAATGCCCTCTTCTGGAAGGTATCTCCAATTATGATAATTTTTTCATAGACACTGGCTCCCATACCCACATCTATACTCCATCCCAAGGAAGCTGGGTTATTTCCTTTCAACAACTTACACTTCAGGCAAGTATTTCCATCTGAACTTCTGACACACCTGCTTCAAAGCTCTCGCTTCCTCCTGGATCCACTGAAAAGTACTCTTTGTCCTTCGTCCCTGCCTCGTGGGAGAAGTCACTTCTTCCTATATAACTCTGTATGGCAGCATCAGGTAATGTGAACCAGGGTCCAAGCCCCAGGGAGGTGATAAGCTGAGGAAAACCTACAGATGTGCAAACATTTTACCTTGATAACAAAGGCAGGCTTCTTCCCAAAAACAACAGGAAAAGCAGAGACCAAGAGCCCTTGACAAAATAAAAATGGAAGAAAGGACAGAGAGAGAGAGAGACAGACAGACAGACAGACAGACAGACAGACAGACAGACAGAAACACAGACAGACAGACACAGAGACAGACACACACACACACAGAGACAAAGACAGACAGACAGACAGACAGACAGACAGAGACAGATAGAGACAGACAGACATAGAAACACAGAGACAGACACACACAGAGAGAGGGGGGAGAATCCTATTTGCTATTAGACGACCCTTCATTTTCTTTTTATAGAATAATAAGGGAAGAATTAAGTGGATGAGAGGGAGGCCCTGAGCTAAGAAGTAAGGGGAACACAAATGTGATGACTTTAGAAACATCTAATCCTATTGACATTCTAAATGGACAACAAGACATGAGCTCTGGAGCAATTAATTCCAAATGTGAAGACAGCCCTTTATCTATGGAGGGAATCAGTGGGGAGGTAACTTTTAATACAAAGTCTCTTAATATTTCTAGGCTGATGGAAATAATAGGATTTCTAAGTGGATTTTGAGCCTTCATGCTCTATCTTAACTTATCAGGCAAGATGATTTCAAGGTACCTCCTTTTTCTGGCCCCTTTGCATTTTGTTTCCACTTATTTCCTATTCTTTAACTTTTTTATTTACTCCCCATTCCTTCAGCATCTTAAAAACGAACTCTTGTTCAGATAGCTTGTATATGTCAAGGATATTATATCCATTATGCTTTTCAAGTAGGACAGTATATTTAAAAAGAGATACAGATGAGGGAATCACAGTCCACAAAGATGAAGTGATTTTTGTCCCATATATATGGCCTGTAATTTCTGTCATCATGGGTTGACACAGGTTACTCTGGGCCCAAAGATCCTCCCCCTTCCTTCACAGTAGAAACACATCGGTCCTCTGACTTTCTTTGTCCTTTAGCAACTAAGACATAAATTAGTGCCTTCAGTTCCATTTGTCGTTGAAATCCCTTTCTCTTGTCATACTCTATTTTGAATTACATATGCCTGTGGTCATCCATGGGACACATACTGAATGCCTACTGTACTAAAGGGCTAGCCTGGCTACAGACATAAACAAATTGGTCAGTACCCACAAGAACCACCCAGCCTAGTAGGGAAGAGGTAACAGGATGGATACAGGCAACTTCATAGTAAGAGATCCCATGTTGTTTTCTGAAAGCAAAATGGATTCAGTAGAGAGAATGATCCACACTCACAGAGCTATCAAGGAGTGAACCCTTGGAAGAAGTGTTCTGTGTGTTAGTCACAGGGAAGGAAGCCTATAACAAACATAATCAGACAATGACTGACAGTGTGATACAAAACTCCACTAAGTAAGACCCAGAGACATTTATTACACTGCCAATGTCACCCAGACTGTAGAAGTGGAATGGCTGTGTTAGGATACTCTGTCCATTGCCTGAAAATGTTTTGAGTGGGAAGAAAGAAGTGGGTGGGCTTAGGTCCTCTGCAAAAATGCTAGCCATGTCAGATGCAAGCCTAGACATTTGCACAGATGCAAAGCTCCCAGTGCCCACAAAGGAAAAAAAGACTGTGTGGGCCCCCTCTATTGATTTTGCTGGACACACTCCATGTTCATTTGATGAGTGTTAATGGCAGATGCACACTCAGAGTTAAGGTGACCGCACTGATTCTCCAGTGAGAGTAGAGACTGTCCTTCCAAAATGAGCATCTTTTATTCATTCTTATCTCATTTTCTCTCTCCTCTCACCTGGCTTCATACAGCATCTGACATTTAAAATACACATGTAATTAGAAAATCCTCTCCATCATCTAGAAGCTTTGCCAGTGCCAAGGTACAGTGTGTATATTCCAGAAAGGCTGGGTTATAGGGGACTGGTGAGTACAAACATAATCGGATTCATAGAGAATATGTCGAGCAGTTTATTGGAGTTTCTAGATCTCTAGAGTGGAATGTCTGCCTTTTAAAGTCCTTAAAGATCAACTAAAACTTAAGATAATTACCTCCACCTTTCCTTCATAGATGATTAAATCCCAATTGTTAGGCATATTACTGTTGGGAGTATTATGAAATTTGTATACCAGACAGTTAAAACCAAGGTCATATAGAGCTGGAATCCACTTACCAACTACCTGTGTTCATGTTCATCATCACTTAAATGAGAGACTTAATATCACTGCCATGGATGTTATACATGTTCAGTAAGCTAATGCATTTAAAGACCCTAGCATGGTGTCTTGCCTCTTATACAGACTCAAAGAGCATATTCCTATGTGTGGACACACACACACACACACACACACACACACACACACACACACCAGAGAAGAGTGTGTTAGATAAAGAGTGCTTGGTTCTTGGGAGATTTGTAAGGGATTCTGCATAACCCCACAAACGTCATCTGTTCTCTGTGTCTCAGCTTCCTCACTACTGATAGAGTTGAAGGTGTTGGTCACTGTGATCTTCAATTCAAATCTTTCCAGTTCTGCTTTTAAGTGTCTGCCTTCTTTTCAGAACACGTGCCAGGGCTACCTAAGACTCATGTGAGAGACAAATGCACTCCCTTCCCAGCCCTTGCCTCTCACTCTTCTAGGGCAATCTTTCCCACAATCCCATGTTGCAGATCATGGACTGTTAATTGCAGTTGTGTACTCAAAGTTACGGCGATGGGCCTAGAGACAGTCCTTCCAAATGAGAATCTTCCATGTCTTATCATCTGCCACTGTTTCTCTATCACCTTTAAAAATGCCCTTCACTCATAATAGTCTCCTAAATTGAAAGTATAAATTCCTGTATAATAGCTTTGTAAAACCAATGACTTTCAGGTTTTATTTTTAATTTTCTATTTGTTAAATATGCTCATTCTTCTAACAGAAGCTTTCTGGCATGCTCCATATTAAAAATAAAAATAGTAAGACTTCATGAGGTATTGACAAATCCAAATTCCTTGCCTTGTTGGATCCTCTAGCCCTCACCTTGCCTTCGGGGTGGTCCCAGAGGCCCAGAGGCTACATTAGTAGCAGCCACGTTCTCATGTAGCTCTTTGGAAACAGCTATTCTAGAGTACCCTTTTATGAATTTTATCAGAGAATTTGCATCTACTTCCATGCGTTATTTATTCACCTTTCTCTTTTGGGGCCACATAGGGCTGTATGACAAATGTTCTTATACCTCTCGCGACCGAGGATGGGTCGTGGGCATTCACACCATCAGTGATCAAGGCAACAGAGACCCACGCTACTTTTTCTCCTTGAAGACAGACCGGGCCAGGAAAGTGACCACCATCGATGCCCATCGCAGCTACCTCCCAGGCCAGTGGGTATATCTAGCTGCTACCTACAATGGGCGACTGATGAAACTCTATATGAATGGTGCACAGGTGGCAACCTCTGGGGAGCAAGTCGGTGGCATATTCAGCCCACTGACTCAGAAGTGTAAAGTGCTCATGCTGGGGGGCAGTGCTCAAGATCACAACTTCCGGGGCTACATTGAACACTTCAGTCTATGGAAAGTAGCCAGGACACAGCGAGAGATACTGTCTGACATGGAAACCCATGGCCTCCACACCCCACTACCTCAGCTCCTCCTCCAGGAGAACTGGGACAATGTGAAACGCACTTGGTCCCCCATGAAGGATGGCAAAAGCCCCCGCGTGGAATTCAGCAATGCCCACAATTTCTTGTTGGACACTAGTTTGGAGCCCCCTCTATGTGGGCAGACGCTGTGTGACAACACAGAAGTCATCTCCAGTTATAACCAGCTCCCTAGTTTCCGTCGGCCCAAGATGGTGCGCTATCGTGTGGTCAACATCTATGACGATGACCATAAGGACCCGACCGTGAGCCAGCAGCAGATTGACTTTCAGCACCAGCAGCTGGCTGAAGCCTTCCAGCACTACAACATCTCCTGGGAGCTGGAGGTGCTGGAGATAAACAGCTCCTCTCTGCGTCACCGCCTCATCCTAGCCAACTGTGACATCAGCAAGATCGGGGATGAAAAATGTGACCCTGAATGCAACCATACACTGACTGGCCACGATGGTGGGGATTGTCGCCAGCTGCGCTACCCTGCATTCACTAAGAAGCAGCAGAATGGTGTGTGTGACATGGACTGCAACTATGAAAGGTTTAATTTCGATGGTGGAGAGTGCTGTGACCCAGACATCACAGATGTCACTAAGACATGCTTTGATCCCGACTCTCCACACAGGTAAGATGTTCCTGGGCAGATGTCCAGTTGAGAACTGACTATTATGTTCCTACTTTATAGATAAGACACCTAAGTTCTGTAGGGGTTTGTGACATTTTTCCAGTTTGTGCAGCAGGCCTATGACCAAGACAGTTCTAACATTAAGGCTACCAAAGAGACTATATACCTTTACTAGACTACTTATTGGGTGCTTGCTACTGACTGTGAAGAAGGCCTCAAAATCCTGTCCTCTCAGAGAGTTCAGGGTTTAAATGGGGTACCATGCATGGTATGAAAATAGTTGGTGTACTGTATGTGGCACTGTTGATTAGATCTGTGCCAACCAATTCAGTAGTTTCAGGCTACTATTAAAATTTAACTCAGTTAAAAGTAAATAGAACTGTTTTTATAATTGTATTTATTATTTTATGTTTGCATTTTTATTTATCACTTTTACTTTATTGGTAAATAAATAAAACCAGCAGCACCTGATGATGTAAGTCTATAATCTCAACTGACTGATTGGACTACAGAATGAGTTCAGCCCCAGCCTAGGCAAATGTGTAAGACCTTATCTCAAAATAAAGAGAGTGGTGGGTGTGTAGCTCTTGCCTATATACTACAGAGCTATAGGTTCAGTGTTTAGCAACACGCAACACACACACAGCACACATACACATACACACACAGCACGCACACACACATACACACCAGACACACACACACATACACACACGCACACGCACACGTACACACCAGACACACACTAACATACACACACACCACATACACACACACACACGTAAACATAGACGCACATGGAAATAAAACTTTAAAAAGTCAGTTTCTTTGTTACTTGCTATGTAGGTTTGTGGCTATCATGTTGGACAAAATGATAATGGAAATCTTCCATGGTCTGGGCTAGTTCTGTGGGTACTGAGCTGGTACATCTACGGTCACTTAGGGACAGACACCTTGGGTTTAGATCCTAGGTCTACCATTTCCTCACTTTGTGAACCCCTTAGAGGCTCTTCCTGCATCTGCAAAATCAAAGTGATGACTTTTCGAGTTTTCAGATGTCAGAGAGAAGGCATAGACTATGCCATCTCTCCGTCAGTGGCCAGCACATTGACAGCTCTCAATGGTATATTTATCTAAGGGAAGGGGGAGCTGTATCCAAGGAGTAGCATGCAAAGCTTGAGTCGGGAGCCTTTGATACATCCTGGAGAGTTCTTCAGGACAGGTGGAATATCACCAAGGTCTCCAAAAGCAGGCAGAATGGGAAGTACATCAGAGGAACTCCAGAAATCAAACATGCAATTTGAGAACTATGGATAATAAATATGTGCTGTACTTAGTATTCATGTGAAAAAAAGTTTGCAGTTTTTCTAGCCACAGCAAAAAGGTAGCTCCCTGAGATAATGGATATGTTTGTTATTTTCATTGTGCTAACTCCTTTTCCATGTGCTTGTACCCATCACAGCTTGTTTTAAACATTAAATATATAAAACAGCATTATTTCAGTAACAACAAAAAGAATAGGAAGGTTCTAGACAAGTGGCTTGATGGACAAGTGTGCTTGCTTTGAAAACAGAATGACCTGAGTTCAAATCCCCAGCACTCATGTAGATGTCACACACAGTCTTACGTGTTTGTAATCCTTGCCTAAGAGGGCAGAGGCAGGCAAATCCTGGGGTCTCTCTAGCCAGACACCTAGTGAAACAGTAAGCTTCTGGTTTAATGAGAGGCAGTGTGTCAGAAAACAAGGTAGAGGGTGACAGAGCACATGACTATACATTATCCTCTGTTTTCTGCTTGTGAACACACACACACACACACACACACTTAATTTCGACAGTAATCAGAAACTGAATTGGGAAAGAAACAAAGCTATTTAAGGAAGAGGTGATTTTCCTTGTATTATTCCTAAAAAGGAGGAAGAAAGGAAGTCTGCTCCCTAAGAACTTCTTTGAGTCTGTCCTGGCTTTTGACTATAACCTGCAATCCTAGCGTGTGACATGAAACCAAAGGGTAACTTGCATTTCATGTGGGACCTTCAGTTGGAAGTCAGGGAAAGGGCCAACAACCAGCTTCCTGTTTTTCTCAGGTTCATGGGAAACTTTTCCATTCTGTCCACCACACAGGACCCTGGACTTGCTGATGGCTTCAGCACATTTGCCGACCTCGGCAGCTTTTCTGCTGACACTTCTCTGTCTCTCTCAAAAGAGCAAGGGCCTCCCTTGCATAGGCAAAATACCTACGTGCAGAGAAATGAGGGAAATGTCCTGCCTGGAAGCAGCTCAGCCTCCTGTTACGGGAAGGGCCCTCACTTGCTACAGACCTGTGCAGCATACAAAGGGAGATTTTGTGTATGGCTAGTATGATCTGGTCATTTCTGCTCATATTGGAGCCCTGGAAGAACTTGACGAAGGAGATAAGATGGAAACTAGAGTGTTAATTTGAGTGATGGGAAATCGAGAGAGTGCGATATGCGTGATTCAGTAAAATCATTAGATAAATAGGAAACACAGGTTTTCTCTCATTGATGTAGAGTGTTCTACTAAGCCAGCCTTACATAAAATACCTATATTCAAAGGCAGAGTCAGTAGGAAGAAGAGTGAGGATAGCTGAAAGTCAGCCATGTGTCTATTCAACTAACCATTTTCTGATTCAGGTGACAGATCTTTATTTAGCTTCTTCTAAGGATTGAGTAAGAAGGTACCCCAACCTTGTTTGATGTAAAGAAATTTCAGATTCAGAAAGGGGAAGGGATACTTTTAAAGCCAACCTGATAATGTGTGGAAAGCTTGGACTCAAATCTAAGCTTCTTTTCATGGCTTTGTTTGTCTGTTTTTGGTTTTTCAAGATGGGGTTTCTCTGAATAACAGCCCTTCACTGTCCTGGAACTAGCTCTGTAGACCAGGATGACCTCAAACTCACAGAGATCTGCCTGCCTCTGTCTCCCAAAGGCTAGGATTAAAGGCGTGTGCCACCACCACCAGACAAACATAGGCTTTTTAAATATACAACTATTGAATGGGACTATCTTAAAAATCCGAGGAATAGTAGGTAACATTAAAAGGCAGAGGTGATAGGCAAGTTAGTTTTACAAAATTTTGGGCAAAGTCTAATGGTTATAATTGAGTCAGAACCAAAGGCAGCTGGCCTTTTCAAAGTCAGACACTAGTGTCCAGGGACCAAGGGGGCCTCAGGTTCCAGATAGATCAAAATCAACAGGCAACACTAGCAGATTCCAAAGGCCTCCTCTTTTCTCATCACAAGACTGCATGCTCCAAAAGTCTGTGCACAGCCATGTGCCAACAATGTGACCATTCAAGCCAGGGTCTGCTTGTTTGCTGGCTGGGAAAACTGTGTACACAGGGCGAGCCCCACCAGGCCCTGTGTCATCAGGACTAAGCTCAGGTCATTGGGTTCTGGCTGAATCAGCTCTCCTGGGTGCAGAGAAAAACCTGTGGAAGGTTTCAGAGAAATACTCACTCTGTGACTTTGAATAAATGAGAGGGAGAAGGGAGAGAAGGGAAAAGAAGAAAAGAGAGAAAGAATAAAGAGTCAAAAAAAATCAGGGAAGCAATTGAAGCAATTTAATTTAGTGTGTGTGTGTGTGTGTGTGTGTGTGTGTGTGTGTGTCTACAGAGACCAGAAGAGGGCATCAAATCCCCTATAACTTACTCTGTGGGCATCTGTGGGTGCCAGAAACTGAACTCAGATCATCTCTAAGAGCAGGTACTCTTATCTGCTGAGCCAAGTTTCCTCCTTTCTATATTTTAGTGCAATAATTGTTTCTTTGAAAATTTCATGTTGCATACAATGTATTTTAAACATTTTCACCACCCATTCATCCCCTTAACTTCTTCCAGATCCATCTCCCACTATCTCCCAACTTTCTCTCTTTTTTAAAAATATAAGTCATGGAGTCCAGTTTGTGCTGGCCATATAATCATGGTTCTTTTGCCATTCACTGGAATGTGGTTGATCTAATAAGAGCCATACCCTTAATGAAAACTTGCTCTCCCCTCCCCCAAATGTAATCAACTGTTACTGGCCCCTCAGCCAGGGGTGACAGCTCATGTCCCTCAATCCCATACACATGCAGACAACTATAGCAACTACAAGTTCATTAGTGTAGCAGTTCTGTCACACTCAGAAGACGGTGTCACTGTTGCCTTCCTTGACTTCTGGGTCTTAGGATCGTCCCCTTCTCTTCTATAATGATCCCTCAACTTTCAAGAGGACATGTTGATACAGATCTCTCATTGGTGGCCGAGCCATCCATAGACAATTACTTGTACTCTGGCCAATTATGAGTTTCTAAGTTATGTCTCTTCCAATGTACAAATAAATTTCTCTGATGAGTTTTCTAGAACTGCACAAATCTAAGGGTAGAGAAAGATAGCTTTGAGGACAGTTTGACACTATGTCCGTTTAGCAAAATAGCCTGTGAGCTCCACAGCCATGAGTGCTTGGTCAGGGGTTATAGTAACAGTCTGGCATTTTATCCTGTAGAATTGGCTTTAAGTTTAATCAGAAATTAGTTGATTGTTCCCATAACATCCATATCACTGTTACTCACCCATGGCCATTATCTTGCCACCCTGGTAGCTCACAGAGTTCACAACTTGGTAACATTGTTGAGGAATTTTCCTTCCAACAGCTATTACACCTTTTGGCACTATGAAAGCCAGCTTTAAATCACTATTCTCAATCTATAGCAAAATGGAAGATTATTACACATCTGGCACAGACTAATACCTGTGCAACAGGCAGCAATCTTGACTTGATATGACAGTGAAATGCCTCTCAAATGATAGGGCAGTGACAGAGATGTCTCACAGCTTCCAAGTAATAGCTTTTTATTTCTGTACTGCAATGGGTCATCATACAGACCATTTGTTTAGCATTTCCTTCATTTCTTCCTATATGAAAATAAAAATTTTCCAGTAATAAATCTTAGAAAATTGTCAGTCTTTACCAGAGAAGTATGAGCTTTGGAAAGAGTATAA